TGAGGCTTTTAATACCACTACAAACACTAGACTTTTAGAAATACGTCGTTCTCCGGACTCTTTTTGTTAACACTTTCTGCGATTGCTCAAGAAAAAAAAACCATTATACTTTAACCACAATGAGTAACCCCTTATTGGCTGCTACCCTTGCGAATTTTAGAGGGGAGGGAGACCTCAAGTACCTAGCATTCCAATTTCAACCATTTCATTTGTTGGCTTCATACCTTTAGCTGTTTATTTAAATAATGTTTACTATTTTTCTGTAATTTTCCTTATTCTCCTGCCTTCCCACCTTTCATAATTCCCTCCTACCCTCCTTTCATTTCCTGCTTTCAGTACTCCTCCAGCCAACCCATCCCTGTCCTCCCCTGCAATTCTAGGTTTTCTAGGTCATCGTTTTCTAGGTCTTTGCTTTCCAGGTCATCATATTCTAGGTCATCATTTTCTAGACACCCAAAGGTCTGAGGTTTGCATAATTGTCTCGAATTCTCCCACGCATTATCTACTGGCCTTAAGTGAAAGCAGCTCAAAAGGAAATATTTGTTTATACCTGCATCATCATAAATTCTATTGACTTATTCCTAACATGAAGGCCTTATAAGCGATCAGTAGATTAGAAAATGTTTCAGTCGCAAAGTATGCTTTATAACTTTCTCGAAATTCCAAAATGGCGGAACGCGGGTTTTCTAATAATGTTAAGACTGTGACCTGGGTTTTCCTAACAAAGGTTAAATGTTAGAAACGCGTTAAGAACTTAAGATATTGAAGCTCGAAAAATGCTATTTAATAATCAAAATCCGCTTCAATGCTCGCCGATAGTGGCCTTTCTAATCGTTGTTGTTTCCTACACTTTTGTTTGTGGAATCTAATCATTAAAGCGTGAACGAGTAATTTGACTAATCGTGATGGAAGAGGTTTTGTTAAAATGAAACCACCACACCAAGCCGTGTTCCACCTCATAAAGCCGCTTTGAGTGGTGGTTTCATTCATAAAACTAAACTTTTTCCTTCGTAGTTAGTCAAATTACTCGTTCACGCTTTAATGATTAGGATTACACAATCAACCGTGTAGGAAACAACAACGATACCAATCACACCGAAGTACCAGACAACATTCGTTTCAAAAGCTAAGCTACAATATACAACGATAATCTTACCAGCACCAAGCAACTGTTCACACGTCGATGGTGTAAGCGGCGTTCGTTCCTCGTGCGGTTTTGATTCCGCGCGTAGCCAAAACTTCATTTTTGTACCGCTAACTATGAAAGATTAGTTTGAAAATAATAAAACGTGACTGTTTAGAAAACAGTGTCGCTTTAACTTTGACCTTGATCCGAAGACAATCTATTCACCGGCTACACACGCGCCAATGATTAATTTTCTGCGAATGTCAGTTGAAGCACACGCTTGAGGAGGCGATCGGGGACGGTGGGTGTGGGTGAGCGCGCGAGATTGTATTGGTCCGGGTTCCTGGTCCGGATTTCCTGATTGCTGTCAGATTTTGGCCAATCAGCGTGTTCTCCTACAGGATTACTCACCGTATCTGGACTGTGAGGCTTAATATTTGCGACTGGAAGTAATCAGCCTAATTTGCCTCCCTTACGGCCCACGAACTTGTCAAGGTTCACCTGGCGCAGGGAGAATATCGAGATCAGAGGGGTCAAACAGGGTCAAACAAATAGCCCTCGGCCCAGCTCGGCCCGGTTAGGAGTAATAAGGGGGCAACTGCAGAATGCCAAATTTTACATTTATGTAAAATTAGAACAGTAAACTGATCCCTGCGTCAGGAAGAGTGATAGTAAGACCACGATATGAACTGAAGCACACACTACCAACAGTCCGGAACATACCTAAATTTAAGGGCAGGGCCAACTGGTCACGCGACACTTTTCAACTAATGAGAAGGCGCGCTTGTGTTTATCAACAAACAAATCAAAACATCGCCCCATCGCCCCACTGGCCAGTACCTTACGCATACTCACAACCATATCACCTTGGCAGTGGCCGCCATAGACAGCTGTTTCGCCCTAGTTAGGACTCATCAGCATAGCATGGTAGCCTGCGTAGCAGCGCTCCTGATAAAGAAAACAAAAATAAAATGGTGAATTATATTTGCCCGATATTTCGGTTTGCAACACAACCTTCAACGGGGGCTAAGACGGATCCAAACCTTTGAACTGCAGATTACTCGGCCTTAATTTACATGTGTCGGAACGTTTTCAAGAACGAGGTAAAAATAAGCCTTGGAAGAATCCTTGCGGTACCTTGCTTCGAGCATGTTCCCGATTTTAAGGATGGGGCGAACCAAATTGAGAGTGGGGAACAGTCTAACAGGTTTATTAAATTAATTAAACATTTAAAGAACAGGGGCACCCAACGACGGTTTCCTCCAAAATACATTAAACCCTTTTTAGGCTGTCCAGAATCTCGGCTTCAAGATCTCCAGAAATGCATTCTAAGCGGCGCTGCAAAATTTGTATGTGTTCTGTCATCCTCGGGGAACTTGAGTCTTTTCGAAATTACAAGTTACAAGGGCTTCAGTATTACTTTCCCGAAAATTTTAGATGTAATTTAACGTATTATGAAAGTGGGGATTTTTATAATTCCTCTCTCCATCACCTTTTCGAATCCGAAAATTTTAGGTTCCCTTTGGGCAACGAAAAATAGCCTAATCTGGAGAATGAAATATGGAAAAGTCAAGAGAGAATGTGGAAAATAAAAAAAGTTTTGAAAATCGTACGGAATTTATTGGATAAGCGTCGAAAATTGTACATGAATCATGAATGGAACAGTCATCTATAAATTTTTAGCGGTCCTGAAGTGAGAGAAAATTCTAGGCAATATCTGCTTCTCCGGACAGAAATTTTACAGAAAACAGTCATTGAGTGCCCTTGAAAGAACTCAACAAAAAGTCTAATTTTCGAACGATACGGATAGGATAATTGCATGGATATTTGCAAAAACTCAGGACCCCAGGCGGAGTAATCCGGATTTCAAGTGCAGGCATAGAGCGGTTTTCACTTGACTGTCGAAAGGGATTGGTTTTGGTTTTGGTTTTGGTTTTACTACGCCCTTTGGCTGGCTAGTGTATTTACTTTGGTTTTGGTTTTACGACAGTCAAGTGAAAACCGCTCTAATAGAAGGATATTTTTGGGTTTGATATCGCGGCCGCGTAGTTCTGCGAATAAAGTATAACGAAACTTGTTTTGCAGCTGTTTTAATATCAATCAAATTCATCACATTGAATCTGTTTCACGAAACCGGTTAATATGCAATTAAAAAATAGTCTGCAAAGTGTCCCGGGCTGTAAATAGCCTGCGTAGCAAGCGGTTCCCCGCGAGTTCGTCGAGAAAACTGGAACGAGAGCAAAAAAAGGAATGAAGGGGGAGGGGGAGGGGAGTGAAGGAACGTTTCCTCTCCTCCCTTCCCCCTCCCCCTTCCATTTTTTTTTTGCTCCCGCTCCAAATTTCGCGCTATAACTCGACTGGAAACGCTTGCTACGCAGGCTAGGCTGTAAACAACGTAGTCTCCCTCGCAGCCGTTTTTAGTATCGTCACGCAACGCTCCTCCCCACAGGAGGAGCGTTGCGTGACGATACTAAAAACGGCTGCAAGGGAGACTATAAACAACGCTCCAATTCATTTTTTAAAATTGATGTCTCATTCATCGCGTTTGTCGCCTGGCTTTTATATAGTCCCTGGACTTCCCTTTTGTTCGATTGTTATATCAATTCATGAAACGTTCTGAAATTTTTAAGGCTCGGAAATTCGGCATGAGATTTTTGGGGGTTAATTTTTGGTCCAGGGATTTTTGGGAGTTTTGTTGGAAGCCCTACGGATTTTATTCGGTTTTGATTTTTGTCCCCATTCGATCATCCGCGTCGCTTAAAAACCGGAGCACTCTCCCCTGGGGTCAGGACCTACCGAAATATTACAGATCAAAAATTTAACACAATCAACAATAATTTTTCTAACTAGATCCACCATGATGAGAGAGACCATAAGTGGGCCTTGCTAAAAGTATTTAGTATTCGAGCGATTATTGGCTGAAAAACTAAGCTCATGTTAGAAGCAAATGAATTTTGTTTTAAACGGAGGACTCGAGGCAGTCAAAAAACTTTTTAAAAGGATTCCGTTGAGAGTAAGGCTATATGTACACTTCATGGGGATGGCTCTCACTAAGACACAAAACCATAACGAATAGGCTTTTTGTTCACACATAAGAACTGTGATTTTGGCGGGGTTTTTGAAGAGAGCGAAGCAACGCCACGCCTATCCTGAGAGTGGATCGTCACTCTTTGATATGTGAACAGGCAGCAAACGTCAGCGGAAGTGAATAGGGACCTTAGCTTACGATCCGACAACGGCGACGTTCGTGAAAACATCACTGAGAAAATAGACTCCGAATCCTTTCAAACCATTTCGCGATTTTCTCAAGTCACCCTGTTACTTAAAAGAAGGGAATTTATGTTGGAGCTGAAGAGAGGGGTCCGCGCCCCAGTTCAGACAGAGATGGTCGAAATTATCGCCTTGCCGTTCACGTCCTCAAAAATACTTAAAATTTGGTCATTTCACGATGTAGTTGTGTAGGGACGGCAAAGAAATGTACAAAAGAGCGTGATGCACGTGCAGAGTTGTTGTTTTGCTAACTAAACCTATTGCTTTTTGACGTTGCCTTTGACGTCACCGTCGTAGTTTCGTAAGGTCCCTAGGTCCCTAACGGGAACCCACTTAAATGGAAGTAAATTTTCAGGAACCCCCTCGGCCAAACACTCCAGCATCCTCCAGCACGATGCTCGAAGTGTTTGAACGACTTGTTCTACTTCTCTGAGCCGTTTCTGTTCATACCAGGCCGGCGTATTTTTGATAAGCTATCTGGTACTGTGTATAGCCTAAGGTAGAGTCGGAGTGAAGAGACCTCACGGGGGTTCTTCCGCAAGCGCGCGCGAAAATTCCCTCTAATTATGACGTCAAAATCCAAACAACGGCTCTTTACTGCTTCATGACCAGTGCAGGAACTGACCGAGATCAAGGACTATTGGCACTGATAAGATCGGTTGGTGCAAGACTGTTTTACGCATCAACCGTAACTTTTCACAATGAACAAGAAAAAGTAGACGAAGAAACAGACTTCCTTGTTGGAAAACTCGGGAAAAACGACAGCATTATCTGCTCCTATCTCACAGAACCAATACTTCAAGAGTTAGGAAAACTCAAAACCGTGAGAGGTTTCACACTTAAAGATGGATTACGCCGTGGAATTCGCGAGAAAGACAAGATAGGAATTCTTGCTGGGGATGAGGAATCATACGTGTTATTTCAAAGCGTTTTTGATCGGCTAGTCAGAGACATTCACAGAGTTGGCGCGGATCATCTACAAACGACAAGCCTTTGTGTAGACGCCCCTAACAATTTTTTGCTTGATAAACCACAAGTGCTCTCCTGTAGATTACGGGTGCTCAGGTCTTTAAAAGGTGTTCCATTCTCCTGGTTCTGCACCAGAGACCAAAGACTTTTTGTCGAGGCAATCGTGACAGGAGTTTTGGATAAACTAAAAGGTAGGTGTAGCCTGCAAGCAAGTTTATACAGTCCCCTCAATATTTTTTCACGACATGAAATAAAATGGTATCATCCAATGACAAAAAAATCAGTTTTCACTCGCGCGGAGTTCCGTGAAAATGAAAACCAGTCTCTTCATGTTGAAAACGGATGGCGCAAATGCGAAAAAAAAGGCGGGAAAGGCTGACCACGTGGTCCCTCCGATTTGAGAGCATTGGCAAAAGCAACAAATTTGATATTTGATTTAATACTTAGATTAAAAACCCAACAAAAGTTTTTTTTTCTAATACCCCTCAACCTTCTAGAAAATTCCAATCAAGCTTCCTACCATTAACTACTTTTCTGTCCCCCCTCCCCCACAGAAATCTCTGATTCCTTCTGTGTGTACGATGAAACATGGGGCAAATACGCGCTGCAGAAAGGTTGCTTTACGGCTGCATGTTATTCCCAATCGCCTAGGCTTGTAACTGATCGCTATTTGCATTTCAATTCTGAAAATTAGACAATCTTCAGGGTAAATACATTCCTCTTAGCCGGCTTCAAGACCAGGAGCTCGAACACATTCTTGAGGTCCATCACTTGTTTTTAAAGCAACGATGTTTTACAAACCGCGTGTGGAAAGAAGGGCGAGGTATATGGTATGACGTTAAAAACCGTCTGTTGGTTGTGGTAAACGAGGACGAACACATTAAGGTTATTTGCCAGAAATTTGGTGGTGACCTATGGGCCGTGTTGTCAACTCTGAAAGGATTGCTTATTGAGATAGAAAACTTCCTTGGCAAGGATGGATACGAGTTTATGCGAACGCATCACTATGGATACCTGGTTTCCAGGCCTCTAGAACTTGGCACCTCACTTCGTGTAAGCGTCAATGTGAAACTACCTTTAACTGCAAAGGTGATGATAAAAGTTAACTATAACATTTTTTTTAGGTTCAATTCAGTTCAGTTCACAACGGAACTGGACAAAGGGGAAAAATAGATTAAGTTAAGTGTTATATATGTAAATAAATTTACAAATGATACAATAATTTTATGAAATAAGGCTCAGTATTAATATACATTTACCCTTTTAGCCACAAAATCGATTTAATCCTAAATTTGAGAGCTCACAACATTGCATCGGAATGGCTATAAGTAACCTGCGATAGGGCGGTCCTTTTCCCCTTTTTCTTTGAAAGGCGAGGGGGAAAAAGACAAAAAGGGTTCTTTTTTCCGTAGTTGCCTGTACGTCCGTAGGTTACAGCATGGGCACTGTGGCCATTGCTGGTGAATTTTAGAGAGATGAATTGAATGGCAAATTTTAAGATGCAATTCCCAGGCTTCAGTTTTTACAATGACGGAGTGCTCTGCAGCTAGAGAAAGTAAGTAACATGCTGCATAGAAAACGGTAAGCAACCAACAGCATCAATGGACCTTAGCCCTAAACCCGGGCCCCCCCCCCCCGGGGGGGTACTTTAGGAATTTCTGGGTGGGGATGTGCCGCTGGGACCCTGGAACCCTTAACCTATACCAGAGCTAGTTCAGCTGAATTTTTCTACCCTATACTAGAGTAAACTCCCCAAATCCCCCTATCCTAGAGTAGCTGTTTCCCTTGTCCAGATAAAATCTTCAACCAACTGATCAGTTTCCTGAAAAATGATACCCTATTCTAGACCCAAACGCTCTGATTTATATACCCTATCCAAGAGTAAACTGCCTGAAAACCATACCCCTCCCAGCGGCACATACCTATATAGCCCATATATGGCAGTACCCCCCCCCCCCGGGGCCCTAAAACAATATAGCTGCTTGCTATTCGAAGTTCCAATGAAATTCAAGGTTCAAGAGAGTTGTGTACGGTTGTGTACTATCCGAATAAGGTTTGTATGCGGCACTCCGTTCTATTGCGTGGTTCAGTAGTCATTTTTTTTTTCAGGATGCCAGACTCCCATTTGTTTTAAAGTCTTTTGGTCTACGACGTGGAAAATCAGGTCAGTGACCAAAATTTACAGCTGTATTAAAAATAAACCATTTAGGCCAAGCTGAGGCCCCCAGGGCAAACAAAAATTATTTTTGAGGCATTCCCATCACCCCTCTTATCCGATATTAGTAAATGGATATAAGCTGAGCGGGTTTCCCACTTTACAGAAGATCTGAATCTTCCACTTCTGAGACTACAGAAACAAATCATGGATAGCTGCACGAAACGAGGAGATACAGTGGTATTAAAGACTATTAAAGTGCCTTTGTTTTTTCTTTTCTTACAGGGTTACGTTTCTCAGATCCTCAAGGAAGTCGAAGAAAAATATTTGAAGTGTCAAATGATAAAAGAATGGGAGAAAACGAAGTGAGAACATATGTTTTCAGTTATATAAAGCTGTACAAAAAATAATACCGATTTTTCTATTCCTATTTGCTAAGGCTGCCTATACTGCATGTAAGTTTCCTCTGTAGTTTGCATTCTTTATTACAACTAAAAGCTAGTATTAAATTACAAACCTAATGCCACACTTTATCGTTAAGTTTTTATCGTTTTTTAAGCATGTGCCCAGGAGGGTCCAACGACCAAATGCCATGAAATGCTACTTCAAAAGTGTCTTAAATGGTTTTCTTTATGTGCCCTTAGAAGCCTGTTTGGTTAATTTGTTGGAGCTGCCCTTAAAACTGTTTATCTGTTTGGATGTCTTAGGGCATAGTTATTCGAGGAGACTGGTTATAAAAGGAGGAAACTGAGAAAAACCGGCAAATTTAAAAACAACAGTGCTGCTTTTTATGTTGGAAGCTTCCTGACGGTACACAGTCCTTTGGTTTCTGTTGGCAAAATGGGTTAACCTAGACCTTGTCACGGTTTTGGAACCCGTCCACAGTGTTGACGGGTGGGTAGCTGCGTGAGAAATTACAGTTTTTGTAAGCGAATCGAATGTCGAATAATTTCCGTAAAACAGCTATTCCTGAAAACTGAAATATGAATTGTAAACTAAAGCTTCACTCCTAACGATTCTACTGAAAACATTTGAGGGCGTTACATGCAGCTACATGCGCTAGAACCACTTTCTAAACATTTGTCTGTAAAAATTTCTCTTCCTGCCAACTAAAATTTCCCGGGAAAAATTGCAGAAAATCTAAAGCAAGCGTCCAGAGAAGTTTGAGCACAGTTACGGCCCCCAAAAGTTGTTAGTAAAATCCTTTGCTGTGTAGCTTTAGTTAACATCGATTTACAATTCATATTTATTTCAGAACAGCTTTTTTACGAAAATTATTCCACGTTAGATTCTCAGTAAACACTGTAATTTCTCACGCGGTTGTCTACTCGTCACGGCTTCCAAAACCGTGACAAAGGTCTATTAATGGTACGTTTTTATATGGTCAGTAAGATCAAAATGTTAGGAATGCTATTGGACGTTGTGCATCGTCATTCCACAAAAACATAATTACAAAGGAATCTGACGGACTTCATAACCACTCCATATTTTAACTACATGCTTAGGGGAACTTTGGGCGCCTCGAAAGTTTTAGGTAGCCTTTTTGTCTCATCCGAAAAAATTTTTAGCTACCCTGAGGGTCCGGTCGAAACTTCGAAGACGTGGATCAGCCGTACTTTGATGCATTAGAAAACTCTGGGGGATGCTTTGTCTTTATACCAATTTTTCAAATTTCAATTTTTAACAATAATCGCAATATCTTGGTATTAAATAAAATTGCAAAAAACGCAAATTCCGAAAATCGTAGGTAAGTTTAGTAGTAAAAATATCTTGGACGAATGTAACGTTTATCCAGAAATTACAGAAAAAAGTTCTTGGGTGCGCCTATGTGCTGTCAAGTTGCACTCCATCACAATCTCCCTATCACGTTCGCGATTCATACTTTACTAGAAATATGTGAATGGTCGTGAATTTGCGGAGCCCTGAACAAGTATTTTTCTTGATACTTTAATCATTACTTTGACACTAACTCAAGAAGAGATATCTGTGGACGTTGTTGTTCATTTGTATCCCTGGTTTAATTTTATTTTTCTTTCGTGCATTCAGGAAAAATTAAATTTCAAACTAAAGGTTAAAATTAAACCTCGATGCTATTTTTATTTTGTCAGGTGGAACTCATTCAGCAATTCATTACTGGCGTGACTCGCCTCATTGAAATGGAAGAACTTTTAACAAAAAATCTTCACATGGACACGTTTATCACCGACATTGTTAAAAATAAGCACACTTCAAGAGATTATTAAAACATAAGCCTGTCAATGCACATTGACAACATTCAGCTAGCCATGGGGAGCTATGGGGATTGGCAATTACACCTCTCTATCGCCCTTGTTTATTGTTTCAAGCACGCGAAATACCGGTAACAGAAATCTTGAACTTTCAAACTCCAAAAGGAAAAAAATATTTCATGGCCTTTGTTACTTCCGAGCCTGTGGATAAATATCAAGCTTGTTTCTGAATCCCAAGAGAGGATGTCCCCTCTTGTTCATCCATAAGTTCTTTGTAGATGAGGATTTAAACAAATACGACCATTTTCAAACCCAAAGCGCGTCGTTTCTTTTGATCACGTGATCTTCGAAACTAGGGGAGCACTCGTTTGTTGAAGTGAGACGAGAATGCAACCTCTACCACCGGGCTAAAGGCCGCTCACGCATGGTGCAGGAATAAACTGCAACGAGAAAACCCTCCAGAAGTCCTAGATTTCTCTATGATTTTGTTAGCAACTGGTACAAATTAATAACAATGAATGCATGTTCTGCTAAAAAAAAACCTTACGCAGAGTAATAGCCTCCATTAAAAGATCTTAACAGCCGCTCTGTTCGACCTTTGGGGCTTACATTTCAAAAATGCTGAGTTGTGTTCATTTTTTCAGGGGAATGAAAGTGATATTGCATTTCCTTGTACTGCTAAGAGCTACTGTATTCTGACTTCATTCATTAGGGTTATACTCGTTAAAAAAGCTTCAAAAGCATAAAAGATACTACTTATATTTTGGGTGTCAAATCCATACCTGATTTGACTCGACTCCGTAATAGTTCACTGAATTGGACAAACTTTTCCACTTTGGCTGACATTCATATGCAACCGCAAATTCCAAAGGTAATCATTGGAACTCACATACTAACCTCCCCCCCCCCCCCCCTCCCCCCCCCCCCCACCCCTCCCTACACACCCACACTCCACCATATCCTTCCAATATTTCACTTCTCTTATACATGTATAATTTACTCTTCTAAATGTTATTTATTCACTTATAT